CTATGGCAATTGGCAACAATTCAAACATCTTGAAAAGAGGTAAGCTCCAGCTTATAAGTAATTGTTAAAACACATGTGGATGGAGAACGACTGCGCGGAGAGAAAAAAAAGAAGTCAAGAAGGGGTGAAAGATCATCGGTGGTAAAAAAAAAAAAAAAAAAAAAACCTTTGAGGGAGATGTCATCCCGAAGGAACATTGAAAAGCATCTTCAAACGCGTACTGTAGCCTTGGAACAAATAAATTATTTAATGAATTATTATTATATATATATTATATTATTTATTTAATGAACTGTGGGCCTATAGGCCTTTGACCAGCGAGCTTTCGCCTCCTCTTAGTTCACTTTTTTTGCAGGCTTCCAATGATTGTAAAGTTTAAAAAAAAACTAAAAAAACGGCGACATTAAAAACGAATGTAACATTTGGTGACATGTGCTTTCTTTCAGAACACAGTGCAGTCCCCTCCTAACTTCAAGCACCATGTCACCGAGCAGAGCCGCCTGTCGGACCGCATGAGCCGCAGGTTGACTCGGACCTACCAGCTGTACAGCCGCACCAGCGGGAAACACGTCCAGGTTCTGGCCAACAGGAGGGTCAACGCCAACGGGGACGACGGAGCGGTGCACGGTGAGCCGCGGAGGAAGAACAGAACGCCACTTACGATCGCCAAAAAACACTTTTTAGTGCATTTTTAAATAGCATCAGTGGAGTTTTTGATGGGTATTTTATGTATATATATATTTTTTTTTTTTTAAAGAGAGAATATAGGTGTAACTAGCGTATGAATCTCTCAGGAAAACGAGGCTTGCGTATCATTTAATATTTAATTTAATTACAAATAGCAGAAAAAATGTCCAAATGGGTTGTCTTTGCAATGATTAAGAATATTAACACTAAAGCCTCAGTGCGGTGTTGATCAGTCCAGATGGGTGACAGCTAAAGGCCATCCTCCCTCTCTTACATTGCAATGCTTGTAAACCTCGGGAAAACAATGAAAAGTGAAACCGTGTTCACGTCACACACACACACACACACATACACACACACACAGACACACACACACACACACATGGGCCAGTGTTGAAGCGCAGTAAAAAAAAAAAATGTTGGTTTTGGCCTCCTGCAACAACATGTTTGAGCCAGAAACCGCAGTAGCAATAAACAGTAGTGGCATCATGATGCCATCCTTTATGGCCGCATGAAGAGGATTTATTTGGTTTATTCTGTTTTTACCTTAGAAAGTCTTTGACACCTGTTACGATAGACTTCAGGGCAAAGCGGTCCGAAGCTTAAAGAGAGCAGAAATCCTGTCACCGAAGCATTTTGGTGTGTGCAGCCATCTTTCCACCGCAGCCACCACCACCATCCATCCCTTCCTCCGTGCCCGCTGCCTGCTCTTTTGGAAATGTATTTTATGAGGAATTTTCATTGCTTTACAATTCAATGTATGACTCAATTTATAAGGAGCGCTGAAGTCAGCATCTTCACTTAATACCTTTTTCCTCTCCTTGCCTCTCCTGTGTGCTCTTTTGTCTTTTTAATTTCTCGGCCTACACACACACACACACACACACACACACACACACACACACACACACACACACACACACACACGCACACATCATGGACACATTGGCTACACATCCTAAGTGGGTGTCACTTTTGAAAGCGGCCCAAATCTGACCGCTGCTCTGTGCTTGTAGCTGGTTCCCTGGCCGCAGTATTCTCACTCGGCCTTATTCCTGGTTCGAGCTGCATCACAGGACACCATTTAAAGACATTCAACAACAATCGGGCCGTACAAAATCACTATCATTTGGTGCTATTTTGGAAGGCTCGCTCGCTTTGTTAAAGGCGTCTTCTGGACCACAAAAGGGTTAAGAGGCGATTTATACGTCATCTTCATGATACTGGTGCAAAAATGATCAATGACACGATGTAATTCATTACGCCCTGTGACAAACATCAGGAATGTATTTGACTCACAAACTGAAAAATAATAATCTGCCTTCGTGCAACCTTGTCAGAACTGTGTCATCTCATTGCGTGCGATCCGTTTTGTGTGTGCAGCTAAACTGGAGGTGGAGACGGACTCTTTTGGAAGTCGTGTTCGCATCAAAGGCGTGAAGACGGGATACTACATATGCATGAACAAAAGGGGGAAGCTGATCGGCAAGGTAATCTGGGATTTAAAGTGGCTGCATGAGGATACAGCATCGTCTCGCACTATGTCTGTTTCTTGGAAATGTCCATTGAGACCGGACCAAATTAGATTTCTTTAATTTCTCTTAGCAGCCTTCTCAGGGTCTCAATGGGTATTTGACTGTCTGGAAATAAAGACGAGGTTTTCTGCTCCCTGGAAATCGCCCAACATACCTCAACTCACCTCCCCCTCTCTTTCTCCTCCCCAGAAGAAAGGACGAGGCAAAGACTGCATCTTCACCGAGATCGTTCTGGAAAACAACTACACGGCGCTGCAGAACGCCAAGTACGAGGGCTGGTACATGGCTTTCACGCGCAAGGGCCGTCCGAGGAAAGCCTCCAAGACCAAGCAGCACCAAAGGGAGGCCCACTTCATGAAGCGTCTACCCAGGGGGCACCTGCTGAGCGAGAGGAGACCGTTTGATGCCCTTCCTCTCCGTGTCCCTGCGCACCCTTTGAGCAAGCGGACAAAACATTCCCACCACCAGCGCTCGGGGGGCCGTTGAGCACCGAAACCACTGAGGGAAAACTGTTGACGAACCGGCACAGAAGAACCACTACAAGGGGAAACAAGTGCTCTCAGAGGAATGAACTTTTACAGTCAAGTGCCCATACACGTCTTGCCTCATTTTGTGGACTGTGTAATTCTTTGTGCTGGATTGTATGTAACCATTGATTATCTAATCTGCTAGTTATTTCCAATTCAGACAAATTGTAGGAGGATTTTTATTGGTGAAGTCTGGGTGGGTGGCAGTCACAAGTACAAAAGAGCTCAACAATACTTATGAATGAAAACCTCCGATTGGATGTTAGCCAGCTCAGCAACAAAGAATGTTAAAATAGAAATACGTACAATGAAGCTAGACCCGGCAGCTATCTGTGGATTTTATTGTGGTTGCAGCATCTGAGACTCATTGACATGCTATCCTGCCTTTAGGAGGTCCTTCTGGAGAATTTTTACCCTGCTTTTTTTCTACATATATGAATATATTTTTACTGTAAAAATGTAAATGAATGATGGAAATATTTATTGTAGAGTGTATATTAAAACCACTAAAGAATCAGTTCACAAGCTGCAAGGCTTTTCTTGTGTGGTTGTTTTAGGACTAGCATACATCGTTGGTTACCCCCCCCCCCCCAAAACTGTTGTTTTTTTTTCTCTTCTCCAAGTTGGAGACCCAGATAACTGAGGGGCAATATCTGTGACAGGCTACTGAATTCAATGTGCTCAGCAAGTGAGACTTGGGCCTGAATGGCCTGAGCTATGCATTAAAAGCGATGAGGTCAGCCCACCATTTTGGCCCAAACAAAGGTTACCACCATGTAGTTGCATTTCTCACGATCGCACACCGTAACCCTCTGATCAAATGGGCCCTTTGTGAAACCTCATATAAAAGGGCATGTTATACAATAGTGGGTTCGAATAATAACACGAGGAGGGGTCAGTTATCAAAAAGAAGCCAGTCACACAGGGAGGGGTAAGGGGATGGGGGGGAGTGGGGGGGGGTTTGCAGAGAGGGAGTTGAAGGTTTGCAGAAAAAGCATCGGGGCCTGTGCGAAATGTGGCATCGGCTGAAAGATGGGGGAATGGCTGGGAAGAGGCATTCGTGAATGAAAGGGAGGCAGAACAGAAACCTTCTTCCCAGAAGCAGCTGAGCATGACCATCAGAGGCCAAACGACAGGGGAGGAGGAAGACCCCGAACACTCGGCTGCTCTCACAGCGCCTGACCTGGATGTCCAATTTGTTGGTTGGTGTTTTGCTGCCGCGAGAATTTGTTTTGACGGCAGCTCGAGCTTTGCACAGCAAAGTTGTAACGCATTCAACTAAATAACCAAAATTCACAATGAATGATTTGGCATCTGACCAACAGAATAGGCTAACGTCCTACTTATATATATATATATATATACTTAAAATATATTTAAGTATTGACCAAGCTCCTTTTCAAGTGTATATGGATATATGAATATCTATATCTATATATAAAATGTTTAACAAAAAGGTCCTCACTGCCATTTAGAAAACAACAGGACAGGCCGGTTTCAAAAGGTTTTTCTGTATTCTTGTTTTTTCCATCTGCAGGAAGACAAAGCATAATAGTGAGCGAGCCCTCTGGTTTTGTCTGTGCTTTTTACACTTGCTCTCTGGGGTTGGACAGGTGGTAAAAAATGCAAAGAACCATAAGGTTAAAACAAGCTATATTTAAATCGATCTTTTAAATAGAAATGTATTTTTTTGTTTTATTTTTTTATGTATTTGTGACTGGACAGTGCTTTTTTTAATCAACTTTTACTACTAAAAAAATAGATAAATATCTCATTTTAAAGCATTAATCTACACAAATGTTTTCTTCTGTACTTGTCATATGTACTCTAGAGAAAAAAAAGTTTTTTTTTCTGTATCTGACCTTGTTAGATAATAACATTAAGTCGGTTTTTCAAACCTGCACTACGACTGTCTGACATATTTCCAACTTGCGTGTATGTCGTTTTAGCCGGAGACCACAGAGTCAGAAGGTCCTTTTATTGTAAAGAAAAACAGTAACACTAGCTCGCTCGCTGACTAGTTTCAGTAATGGCTTTCAGGGTGGCCCGCTACATGCAAGGAACATGAGGGTATTCAGTTAACCCAAATGGGATGTGCTCGTAACAGTGACCCTGGAACCAGCAGGGATGAGGCATTGTGTGTTTTGAGTGTTTTACAGGGACATTGATGAAAGGAGGGTTGTAGGTTATGAGACCCCCATCAAAATTGCTCTCCTGTAGGTTTGGTAACAAGAAGCAAAGAGGTACACTGTTGTGATACAATTCATCATTTTAATGTAAATATGTATATTATCAAAGGGAAATTATTTGAGAAAACACACATTGATCCGTTACAAAGTTTATGAAAATGTATGAGATATTGTTCAAATGCAACATATAATCATCTTCTTGCTCCTTAAGTCCAAATTCATTCAGTTTTGCCATCAGAATCCCCATTCGCTGGTCACCTTTAGTTTCTTCAACTCCTTCAGAAGCTCCTGTTCAAGGGTTAAGATCTCCTTGGGTTTCTTGTACTGAGAGATAGGAGAGAAGAAAATAATCAGTTGAACTTTCTTCCGGTCTCTATCCTTAAGATCCCTCACAGTAACAATGTTGGAAGAGCAAGCAATTACCACGAAAAAGATACATTATTGCTATACAGAGACATACCCTGACTATAAAACAAAAAAAGAGAATGCATCCGTTTGTAATCCTCAGGATTTGCATGAAATAGTAAATGAAACTATGTCTGAGGTTATATTATCTTTGTCCCTGGATTCAACATTTTATGTTAGAAAAACATATTAAAGAAAACATTTATGATGGTTAGATCTTTATTTGAAAGGATTTGGCACCATAACATTGATGGTATAGATAAAGAAATGTTTCATTTGAGTGGAACTTACGCTGACAATTAAAGTGTTGTTGGCGTGAGTGAAGCTGAGGGCGGAGTCGTCCAACGGCAGCTGACTGCGATCTAAATCAGTAATACTGAACTTCTTATAATACCTGTGAAGACATGGAAAGGATGCCTTGCTGTTGTCATACTATTGTGTAGACAAATATAATGTAAACAGTGCCATCTGTAGGTAACAAGGATTACATGCAACAAGTGTGCAATGCCAATTAAAGGAAAACCCCAGTTTTTTCGTGCATTTTTACTTTTTGTTTGAGGTTTTTATGATGATGCATCTGTCAGATGGCTCCACAAATACACTAAAGACATCTTTGGGGTAGGGAAGGTTGCGAACTCTCCACTGAAAGCTGGTCTTTGTGTCTTTGCGCAAGAACAAAGGCTGTGGAGACAAGAAACATTTTAATCCATTTAACATACATTACATTTAATGGTGTTTTCTCTAAAGTAAATTCAAACCAACAAAGATTGCCACTAGAAAACGAAGGGGTTCAACTGAACTTGTGAAGTCATAGAAACAAAATGAATGAAAGGAAACCCACATTGAAGCAGTTCTCCCTGATCTCCGATTCTGAAGAGGTGACAGGACCTGCGAGGGGCTCCCCCACCTCTACCTGCCATTGGCCCTGAGCTCCCAGGGTACTTTTATGACGCCACTTTCGTACTGAAAAGTACAAAACAATCTAAGATACAAAAAAATGTATTCCACTGAAAATCCGAACACAAGTAGCTAAATGTGGCTGTGTGAAACTCTTACTTACCGATTAGCTCATCTGTGTTTAAATCATATTCCTCTGTCAATTCTTTTCCATCTGTGAAGAGGAAGTGGATCTTTCTTTTTCCTGGAGGTAGAATTTGAAAAAATGGAGAAAGAAAAATGGATGCTTAAATGACTTGTCTGTAAAGACACCAAAAACAGCAGCGACTCACATTGTTGGTTACCGTGTTACGTCGCTTTCAGGTAGAGACTTTTTCAAATTGTGCAATATAGTGGCAACGAGCTGCTGATACATTACTAAAGTCTTTTATCGTTTGTTTTGCCGTCTACTTATTTCAAGATGCGATGTGTAACATGCTGCAGGGCAAGTTGAGCCACCTGCTTGTTGCTTAGTGATCAATGTTAGCTGGAAAGCTAACGATAGCAGAGTGAATGAAAATGACTCACGTTAGGTGAAAATATTAAAAGACTGGCGAGTTCACAAAATACAATGCGTTTAAGCTACTTACCATCGTGTGTAAAAGATGTTTTCTTTGATGATTTTAGGATATCAATCCAGCTCTTTTGAGAAGCCATGTTTCTCAAAATGTTACTGGGTAACTTCCGGAGTCCGTAACCACAGCAACCGAGGTCAATACACTAAGTAAATACAAATAATACGTTAATTAAACAGACCATGGAATATTAAAAGTTACTGCGATAATTATAATTTGAAAACAATTGTTATATGTACATTTTGGCCTATAATGTAGAAAATAAATTAAAAAAAACTAAACCCACTTGACCCGGAAATGAAACCCTTGAAACGCGTTCTGTTCTCCCGTTTCTGTGCGAATGACTCCATCTGAACAGGGGTAAGAACCAAAACATGACGGTTAAATGAGTTGTATAATTCAGATATTGGTCTGTAATAATATGTTATGTTTACTCAAGATTTAATTTGAATATTGTTTCAAAAGTTAAAGCCTCCAAAACCCTGGCTGTTGAATGCTTAGCACGTTAGCACAAGCTAAGGGAAATTAGCTTTGTTATAGCACTTTATTACTGCAACATGGATTTATTTCAAATATTGCACAATTAATTGCGGTGTCATCCAATTCACGTTACGTAGCTGCGCTATTTTGTATAAAATATTATATATTTGACTAGTTACATAAAAGTACAGACAATGCGTGTTGTTGCTTGTTGACAATGAATCCTTTAGGCACAACTGTACGATAAATGTAACATTAACAATAGCGGGTAGCTATTTGAGATAGCAGGTATAATTGCAGAAAGCACACATAACGTGATGTAAGAGGACTCCAGAATTAAGATCCTGATCCCTTGTATTTCGATTTGATGCTACTTAATACTGAAGTTTCCGCTGCACGTATTGGGCATTTTCGAATTTTCTTCTACATTCACGTGAAAGTGTAATAGGGCTAATGTCAAGTTGTAACTATTTAAAACTACGACAAAGAACTAAAATAAAAAATAATAATAATAGGCCAAACAAATCTTTTTTAAGAGATTCAATACAAACATACTCAAACATTGTTCGAATGACCACATTTTAGTGCAAAATGAATAGTACACAGCTTTTGCTCCAGTTTTGTTTGTATTTTTTTTTTTTTAACAAGTTGTACATAACGCAATTCTTCTGCTGTGCCACAGGCCGCTGGCTCCCCGCTTCAGGAAAGATGGAGCAGCGTCACGGCATAATGAAAGCCTTTCCTAAAGTCAAACGAGCCAGAGTGTCACAGAGAAAGGATGAACCCCCAGTAAAGAAAAAAACAGAAGAATTTGATATCACAGGTTGCTGCTGCATGTGTGCGTGCGTACGTGCGTGTTTGTGCGTGGGTGAGAAGACTTGATAATGCAACATATTTGCTTTTTGTAACCCGTTCTTCTTCTGTCCCAGGAAAGACTTTTGATGGCATCACAGTGCACATCCTCCCTGCTGGAATAGGAAATGCCAGATGCCAGATCTTTCAAAGACAAATCCAGCAGAATGGAGGACAGACCGAGAGTTCACTGTGTCCCAGTGTCACTCATGTCGTTGTTGATGACAACATGGACGGGGACAGGGCGCTGCGCCTACTAAAAGTGGATTGTATGCCCCCTAGAGTCCAACTACTGAAATGCATGTGGTTGAGCTTGTGCATCAGTGGAAAACAACTACTGGCTGTTGACGCCTACAGCCTTCTTTTACCCAAGAGGTTAATGACCTAATAGCACTGTTTCAGAATGCTAACTTGTATATGTCTCTTGTGATGATGATGATGACTTTTAACTTGAGTAGCACATTTACCAATTCAAATTGTTATTGCAGTAAGCAAATGTATCCTGGAAAATTTAAGAAGTCATCGTTTTTTTAACATCTTTTCATGTTCTTCCTACATAGAGAATCTGAATCACGGAATGAAGAAGATCATCTGAATGTCGAACCAGCTGATGAAACTATTGCAGAGGCAGCGTTGGATCCGAACAAGCAAGAGAAGACCGCAGGCGTGGTAGGTTTCCAAATCCTGTGTACCGGTTTTGCACTCTTTGTCAGTAATAACTTTCTACAATAGAGGGGGGGGGGGCTTGAACTTGCACAACACATGCAAACAACCATCAGTATTTCTCAAAGTTTAACATTACATTTTACCCTCAGACAGTTCTGGACACTAAAGAGGAAGTGCGAGGAGAAGAAGACGGCGTCTCACAAAGTGACCTGCATGCTCTCATCACTGGCCAGCAGCCCAAAGAGGAGACTCCCGGCCTCAGCCAAGACCCCAGTCCAGACGGTGCTGCTCAAGGGGTGGTCTCAGGAAAGTGGGTCTGTGCCCAGTCCTCTCAATCCAAAAAAAATAACTTCAACAAACACATCACAGACAAACTAGAAGTGCTGGCCAAGGCGTACACACACCAGGGGGACAGGTGGCGGGCGCTGGGTTACTCCAAGGCTGTCAACGCGCTGAAGAGTTACCACAAGCCTATTACATCATATCAGGTAACGCAACGTAGAGCGCTTGTGTCATATATCATATATTGTGTTGTTTATAGTGTCAGTAATGTGTACAGTTGTTGAATCTACACTACTACGCGAGTCCTTTTTTTTTTATATGACGGATTGCCTTTTGAACTTGATGCAGTGATTAGTTTGCGTGTGTTCCTTTTTAAAATCAGAACTTGAGTAACAGCCTTTTGGAATGCCTGGGGTTACAGGCTGTTACATAAGGGAGCACTAGATTATTTGTGTGCAAAAGGTGAAACAAAACGTAGCTAGCGACAGCTAGCGGAGGTTAGTAACCGTGACATTTATTGGCCATCGAGTTACCAGAGAGTAAACCAACAAAAATAATAATAAACATAAAAATAATAAACCCCCCTCCTGTAACTAGAAAGTAAGAGATCAGCTCACCCATTGAGATGAATAGAAACAATACTGAACTCCCTGCCTAGCCACCAAACAGAAGAAAACAAGGATCTTAAAACAAAACCTCCCCAGTATTTAGCTCTGCTGCATGAGGGCAAACTTCACACAAAGCAAACAAAAAAGTCACTTCTTGCTGATGCTCTGAAGAGTTGCAGGTTTTCTTATCAAACACTGAAGAGAGGCCTTAAACACACACAAAGACACTCGCATGATGAATTCCGTCAGGAGACGTAACCTCTTGTTTTACGTTTTTAGGAGGCTTGCCAGATCCCAGGAATCGGTAAACGCATGGCCGACAAAATTGACGAGATCACGGAGAGCGGCCATCTGCGGAAGCTCGACCACCTCGGTGATGCCATGCCAGTATTGGAGCTTTTTACTAACATCTGGGGTGCAGGAACTAAAACTGCACAGCTGTGGTATCAACAGGTAAGGCGCGCAAACACACTAGCATGTACAATCTAAATAGCACCGGCGTTCTTGAATTTCATGTGACTTCAAGCTTTCACTTCAACAAGATAATCCGATAATGTAAAAGAAGAACAGTCCAGATAACAACAGTCAGCATTAGAGTCTGACTAATAAATTGGCCATGCCGATATTGGTCCAATGTTATCTTATTGGGAGCGTTTTGATTGAGTTGTCCCTAAAAGCTGTGGGCTATAAAGTTTTATCTGAATTGAGATTAATTTAATTAATGATTCAAGGTCTAATATACAACACACGGTTTTCACGCAAGATATTTTAACAAGATGTGTTTGTCTTTTAGGGCTTTCGCACTTTAGAGGACATCCGCACAAAAGCTCACCTGAGTAACACTCAGAAAATAGGACTCAAGCACTACGATGACTTTTTAGACCGCATGCCCAGAGAAGAAGCAGCAGCCATAGAGAAAGTGGTAATGCATCTTCATTTGTCGTAATATCTACAGGTATCATTCTGTGATGATAACTGAAATATGTTTGCTTCTTGATTGATACGTTTATCTTAGCACATAGAGGTAAGATACATCTGAAAGAGATTCTCCCGTTTAACCCTTAGTCAGCAGAAAGCTTGAAGAAGGAAACATTGTGGGTCCGCTTTCCCTGAGTGCTTGATAATAGTAAAACCAGACTGTGTTCTTACAAAGTGGAACATCCCGGAGGGGAAAATCAACTCTTAGAAGTAGCTGCATCTTGTTCGACAGATACCTGCTCACTCCAGAGTGCACAGCGCCAGTTGTCAAATTGTATTACCGGTTTTTTTTTTTTTCCCCTTCAAAGCTGCCAGATAGAAAGGGCTGACTGAGATATATGACTAAAGCATGTGTACTCCCTCGGGCTTGTCAAAGTAATAAGCGAATAGCACGCCTAACTGGCAGTGCTGAAAACAGGTAAACAGCTCACTTGTTTTGACAGGAGCAGCGCAAAGACAAAGAAAGCATACGTGCACACTGCTTTTCTATTATTTGGAATCCAACGATCTAAACAAATCTTAATCACTCTAGGATAGATGATGGTCTGTATTTTGTATATACCCAGCTGAAGGATGCCACCCAGGCCATAGATCCAGGCCTCATGGCGATGGCGTGTGGCTCCTATCGTCGGGGAAAGGCCACATGTGGAGATGTTGACATACTGATATCTCATCCTGATGGCAAGTCCCACAAGGGGGTTTTCAGCAAAGTTTTACAGAGCCTCCATGAGAGCGGTAAGCTCCATCTTCTTTAGTATGTCTTATTCTAATCTTCGGTCTTCCTAAAGAGAAACCTAATAAAACAAAAGCGGTTTCTTTTTTAAGGGTTTTTGAAAGACGACCTGGTGAGCCACGAGGAAAATGGTGAGCAGAAGAAATACATGGGTGTGTGCCGTTTGCCAGGACCCGGCCAACGCCACCGGAGGCTGGACATCATCGTAGTGCCCTACAAAGAGTTTGCCTGTGCTCGCATGTATTTCACCGGATCGGCACACTTTAACCGCTCAATGAGAGCCCTCGCAAAGACAAAGCAAATGAGCTTATCGGAGCACTCGTTGAACAAAGATGTGGTGCGTCGGGGTAACTTGAAGGTGTACGGCGGCACTCCATTTGCTACACCGACAGAGGAGGACGTTTTTAGCCTCTTGGGGATACCGTATAGGCCGCCTCATGAAAGGGACTGGTGAGCGCTTGCTGCAATATTATGTCGGGTTTTATCGATGAAGGATGACAATGCAAGGCTCAATTATGTGCAAACAGATGATTTTACAGATCTACAGATTACGAAGGAGCCCTGTTTTACTTGAGTGCTAATTTTATTCTACACATTTAAAGAGTTGGGTTTACTGAAATGCTTATTTGAAAAACTTATTTGATGTCTTATATTTACTTTTAAGTGGTATGTGTCAAGGTTTTAAGATGTCCACCTCTAAAACTCCACACTGAAACAATACAATGAATTATATTTTACTTTGAGATCCAGAGAATCTTTTACCAAAATTGTTATTTAGTTGGGAAAACGTCTTCAGGCTCAGGTAGCTGGATTTGAATACAGTGTTGGAACATTGGTGAAATTTAGATTGTTGAATAACAATGTTAACATTAAAACTTTGATTATGAAAGCTGGAAGCAAAGGTTTCCGGCAAGTATCTAAAAAATTGTATAAACACAAATATATGCATGATCAGACTTAAAAATAGGTATGTGATATTGCAATTGAGTGCAGTGGGCCTTTTTAAAGACATTTAATATAGACAATGCCTGAAGCTGTATACAAATTAGTAATGGTAATAAAACATATAAAAGGGTTATATCGTATATATTCCTGTTTTTTTGTCTTCATTTCTTTCCAAACACATTAGCATACTTTGTACTCTGTCTTACATATCAGTGATACAACGTAGAAGTTATCCAGTCAACTAGCAGACTTTAAATGTGGTCTATTATAGGTGGATGACAGAGTTGAGATGGAAGAGACGACTTGTCTTTTCAACGTGTGTTCTCATAAACTCGATAAAGGGGAACACAGGAAGACAACACGGCCACGCACCAGAGACGCACCGATCGGTGATTGGCCAGGCGCTGCCCAGCTGGCCGCGGCCGTCCAATCACGGACCAGTCCGCCAAACCAGTAGCGAATCTGGAGCTCCACGCAACCAAACGCCCATCACGTTGCGCACATGGATCGGGTCGAGGTGACCACGCCACACCCAGCGGACCGAGGCAGCGTGCCGGGAGGATCGGCTTGTGTAACAGCTGCATCAGCCAGCGGCACCGACAGCGGCACCGCGCCTCGCTGAAATGCCCGGTGCGCAGAGGAGGCGGCGCACGAGGCGGCATCGCGGCGCGACGGGGCCCGCGAAATAGTTTCTAGGAGAAAAACAACAGTTTTCGCGTGTGTTTTTTTGTTGCCGAAGCCGCAGCTACTTCTCGGCGGAACGAGAGGCGTGTGTTCGGCCGTGGCAATGGGATTGTTTTTGCACGCCGTCGGCCCTGTCATCCCCACCGAGCCCGCGGCAGAAACGGTAATAAATCGGCGTTGAGAAGTCCAAAAAACAAGTCTCCCTCTCCCTCTCTCTCCGTGGGCTTTCAGCTTGCTAGTTACCCGGCTAATTTGTCCGCTTTTTACATGACAACCCCGTCATTATTGCCTCAAAGCCCGTCTGTTATTGTTTTGCTATTGACCCAACTTGTGCTGCGCTGTCAACAGAGATGCTCGCGGGCTAACGCGCTAGCCGCGCAGGCTAACGTACCGACGCTAGCGCGTTCAGAGGGACGCTCGCCCGCCAGGGCCTCTCTCTCTTGTTGTGTTTATGGTGACGGGTTGGCATTTTAGCCAGAAGCGCGTTGCATAAACAGTGAAAAGTAGATATTCAGGTACGAGTCCTGCCACACGGGTAAACACAGTCCTCCATTAATGTTTGCCAGTGCAACAGTAGTTCAGTGAACGAACACGCTGTTTTCGGCCAAGATACTAGATTTTGGAGTGTGTTGACAGTGACGATGTTATAATTTACATTTCTTTGATGAGTTAGTCATCACGTCCCTTGGCAGTTTTATTCTTTATAAAAAAAGTATGTTTTAAGATGTGTCTTCATGTATTATGTGTTTTATACATCTGCACGATCGGGCGTTAATGAAACTGTAATGACCGATGATAATGATGATGGTGATTTACATTTCACTGTTCACTGTTTCAGTTTGAGTGAATTCTCATTCTAACCTCTGAAGTGATAGAACTTAGAAGTGAGCTTTAAGTAACTATTCTGAAAAATAATTTCACCTGCCAGCAGGGATATTGGATCTTTCTCAATCTCATCAGTTTGACCCAGTTTGATGTTTTGCTGATGATAATGCGCTTTCGGTATTACATATTGTTTTGTTTCTCTTTACTATTTACATCTTTGCACATATACTTTTAGGGGGTGGAATGAATTAGTCATTCAGGATCTACCTGATTAGCAAATAACATACATGCATTTAGTGAGCAATTATTCTTGGTCATGTGACTGTAGCGGAAGTAAAGAGATGCAGCATTCTTTCATCTGCGTTTTTTGCTGATTACAGGCTCAGGAATGCATCACTACTTTTTCATGATAACCTAGCTGTGTTGCCTAGATGGATATGCCGCTATAGGCCTAAAAACTTGCAATGTGGGGTGTTGTTATTACTGTAAATGTGGACGATTTGTCGTTCCATTTGTTAAGAGTAAGTTAAGTCCCGTATCAGCACTTAATCAGTCCATGCATACTCAAGATATAACACTGCTTGTTTTATCAGTCGTCTATGTGCCATAAAATCTCTGAAGGTTGACATAAGTGCTGATTGTTTAAGTTCATTTGCTTTCTACGAGTCCCGCAAAGACGTCACAGCACGAACCACAGAGTTCTGTGTCGCAGCGTTCTCGTTACCAGCGTTCACTATCTGTCCGTTTGCATTAGCTCAATTCTCATCAGCGAGACACAGCTCAAATGATCAACTCCAGTCAACTATTTTAGTCCCATTCGCTCCAAAAGCAAACTAAAAGAACCTTTATGTAATACTGCTTAGTTCCAAACCGCCTGTCTTAAAACCGTTTCCTTTTAATTACCGGAACCGTCTCAATGGTGCAGCATTGTTATTGAAACAAAAATCTCAACGTCAGTAATACATTTATGGCAAATATTTGTGACCTAATTGTTTTCCGGCCAGTTATAGCTCAGAGGTTCAGCTTGACCGTGGCTTCAGGACGCCATTAATGTGGGATCCAAGTCTTGTATCCAGAAGTGACAACAAATATACCGCATGCTGTAACTTTGAGGTAAAATGAGCCTGCTTCTTGAAGTGAACGCCTTAGCGGTTCTTACGTGAAAGGGTTTGGCACTGACTGTGGCTTGAACACCCGTCAGCGTGGTATTCCTTCATAACCTTGATGAATATTAAATAGCACATTTCTTTGTTGCAGGACACTCTAATAAATAAGTGCACCGGGCTGTGCTAAGTGGATCGACTCTAACTGTGCCGTTCGAATTAACTAAGAACTGTGGCCAGTTATCTCCCGTTACGGTATTTTGATAGTCACCCGGGGGATTTTTGAACTGTCCCCGTTGTCCGCTCATTTCAACAGCTTCTCATTATAAAAGGTGGATTTTTTTGTAACGGAGCGATCGCTTCTGGGACGGTAACCGAATCCCCTGTTGATCCTCTAGTGTAGCATGACAGTGGTGGATTGTTTTCGCGGTTGCCAGTTTTAAATGGCAGACGGAGGAATCTAGTCCGTCCAGATTCTTAACCTGGTCACTGTCTGTCTCACGGGAGGACCGTTCCTCCGACGACCTGCGTGTTTTTCAGAGTCAGCTGTTTGATTGACATCCTAAAGCTTAGATGGAGCCCTTTGTCTTTACGGAGCCCTGTTGGCCAAACCTGGGCCCCTTTTCATACTCGGCCGGTCTCTATTCGGCACAGGCGGAGCACCCAAACAAACTGGACGGGTATCTGTATTGAGTTGCAAAAGGCCTGCCAAGGGGAGAGCATGTGGGGGGGGGGGGGGGGGAGTTGTCCGTGAAAACAGCTGAAGTTACCAGAGACTAAGTGGAGGAACAGAATATTCTTTGTCTATTACACAGTCACTCTAAATCCTCTTGATGAGGCAGAAACGGCTGTTTGAGAAAAGGACTATTTGAATATGCGGCCGGATTTAATGTCGGCGATTCAGTCTGTGCTGATCGCGTGCGCGGCGAATCATTCCTGTGTAACCGGCGTGTGTGGCGCTCTCAGTGCGTTCCTCGCCGCTCTCCCCGGGCATCACACTTAACACACACACACACACACACACACACACTCCTCTCGCTGCCCTGCGCGCCTTTTTGGCTCCAGCCAGGAGCCGGCCCTCAACTGTTGCTTGGAAATTTCCGTAGAGCAATCCTTGTCCACTGTTTGGGGCTGGATTGGAGTGGGGTGATGGTGTGTGTGTGTGCGTGTGCGTTAGGGTGGATAGAGAAAGAGAGCGGGGGAGGCCGAGGTAGAGACAGAGAGTGTTTGGGAGCTGTTTCACTGCCTTTGTGGGATAATCACCCATGAGTTTTGAAGGACGTTTCTGGGATTTTTGGACCCTGGATCATTATGTCTTACGATCTGGGACCTGCGCTGGTAATCTAAACAATCCCTCGGTAGAAGCTTTGCTAGCTAATCATTAAACTAATCTGGAGGAAAACATCTGAGGGATCCTGCTGGAAAGGCACCGCAGCCCCCTGGAAGGATTTAGATTACAGTGCTCCCTTGTCTTTCGGCGGCGTGCAGATCTCTGTTCTGATTATCGTCTCGCCCGTGTGCTCTCACAACTTAGCCTTTTTCCTAGGATACTATGAGGTCTTATTTACAGCAAAAAACATGTAACCCATCGTTGGAATTGAGACAAATGGTGATTTATTTGATTTTGGATGTAAGTGGACTTTGAGTCAAATACCTTTTTGTAGTTTGTGATTGTGATTCGGCTAAACTCTGAAGTGAAATTGAAGTGTATTAGATCTGAGGCGACGTGCTGAGGCGTCTTGTTCTGGCTAAATTTGAGCAAGTTGCACTTGATATGGGCCTTTTTAAACCCTAATGAAATTCAAGCGGCTCACCAGCATAAGTGTTGAGGACTTGTTTACCCCAGAGCTAAGTATAATGTCGGCGGCTCGATATCTGCAGTGTGTCACTATTCTAAAGCAAAGATCAGTGTTGTTGATCAGTGCAGGTAAAGACATCCTGTTACAATCCTATACGCTAATCTCTATTGTCTACCTTTTATTTGTATTAAGTCTATACAAAATCAATACACTTTTATATTTTGAACACCGGTGCTATCAAATGCGTCTTTAGAATCCTACTAAAGATTAAACTCCTCAGAGAGAACTGCGGTAAATCAACGGCACGCAAAAAAGATTGACGCACGCTTACGGACTTTCTAACTTACCTTCCTTTCTTCACACGCATGCTCTTGTCGTCTCTCCAGTGTGTACTGTACACGCTACCGAAAACACTATTTGGAAATCTGTAGTTATTTAGGAAACTGGGACACAATAAATTTCTCAGTAAGCTGAAGGGGGGGAAAAGTACTATAGTACTATACTAAGTATTATAAATGGGCCTTTTTTCCCCAGAAGACCTGTTGATGTGTCACAGTAGATAACGCAAGGGTGCAGATAATGATCTGAATGAAGTGTCTTCAGTTTGAGGGCTCAGGTGTTGTGCATGCCGTCTCACTGTGATGGCACACTTGAATGGAAAGAGAATATTTGTCAATGTCAGCTCTCCATATGTGACCCAATGCAAGAAAAAGAGGGGTCCCTCTGGAAGTGATTCAAGAGGCTACCGTCACTCGTAGCAATTCTGTTTACCAAGATGCAGGAGCGGCGGGAGGGACAGATGTGGCTCTGAAGATGACAGACGGTTGGTCGGGTCAGACCACTACAGGTGTGCCCTCTAAGGGTCAACCCAACTGAAAATAAAATAAATGAAGCTAGATGGAAACATCTGGATCTAAAATTACACAAAGTACAATGAATTCAAAAAAATGACTGAATGAAACTAGTATGGATCTAGCACGAACATTTAAAACACAACTGAAACTACAAATAAGAAAAAAATGCAAGAAGAAAGCAGCACTCCAAAAACACAAAAAATGCCGGCCTTAGTGAACCATTTCATGTTTACGCCCCTAGATGGGCTTTATGGTCAGAGGCTGCAATTACATAATGTCCTCTTTTATATAATGTTCTATATCTAACTTAAATGCACTCCTGTATGACTTGTTGTGTAGCTCCTAAAACAGTTGGGCAACAGTTCCCAAACCAGCGATTTTGGACTTTCTAGTTGGACCCCATGTTTAACAATTCCCAGATTTCCTTTTACTTTGGTAATAAACAGTGGTCCTGTTGATCAGTGTAGGACACCGAACAAAGGTAACTTCACCCTGTGTGAGTCCAAAAACAAGCATGGAAAATGGTGGGGGGCTCTGTTCTGTTACTGCACACGGTAACCGGACGCCTCGAGTGGGATTTTTGGGGGGATTTTCTTTTTTTTTTTTTTGTCTTAACTTGAGATGTTGATGATACTTTCCAGTTTAAAGGAACACTGCTTGTCTGTTGCAGAGTCTCCTGCACTGCGATGGAGTCAACAACCAGAGTTACATCTGTGAGTCCGGACACTGCTGCGGGAACTCTCAGTGCTGCAGCTACTACTATGAGCTCTGGTGTAAGTGTCCTGCCTACACTTGCTTTTTCTTCACCCCCTCTTACCTCATTTAGACGTGTGCTACAGTTTCGCTCTGATTCTGATCTGATTTTGGAGGTCAAAGGTCCCAGTGACCTCGCATCCGTCCATTCTCATGAATGGGATTCCTCAGGAATTTATTCAAATTCCGCAAACAGGTTTTTTTAGTTTAAGATGAACAATTTGGGAATATAAATGGCCATGTCTTCATAATTCCTTCCTCTATTATGGAGAGATGTAGGGACGACCGTAAGCGGCCTTCTCGGAAAGAGGTCCACTATCAATCAAATCTGGGAAAGAAAGCTGTACAACTCGTTGAGATCCGGTGGAAAGGCCCGGTGGTGTGATCTCTTTGGGTCCGGTCCGGATTTTGGACTCAAATGTCCCTTCAAGAGTCACCTGAAGACTTCCTTGGTCAGATGGTGATGTCAGATTCCCAAAAGATGAGCAGGATTTCATTCTTCACAGTGACCACAGTGTGTACGACCTCCAGGCGGGTGAAGAAAACATCGACCCTTAAATCTTTGAAATAATGGAACCTTCGTCTTAAACAGGTTGTCATTGTCTTTTTTTCCCAGGCCCAGCTGGCAATAATGTGTTTGAGGCTAAAGGGCTGATAGCTGGTCATCTATACATCAGATGACCCGCTGGAGTTTGACTACACAGATGACATGAAACTACCAACATGCTTATTTTTCACACATTAGGGGATGATTTAACTGCAAGGAGACTCGATTTTTGTTAAAATAAACCGTATGTTTAATTGATTCCAAAACAGTTTTAAACGCACTGAAGATACTTCAGTTCCAGCGTGAAACCATTAGAATTTCCTGTATTAGCTTAATCTCATTCTCATTTCTGTCACGTCATCATGATGTGATGTACTGTAACCATTAAATATCTTATTCCGCACAGGCTGTGTTCGGAAAGTCTTTTACAATGTGGCCTTAATTGTTTCTTAGCGATCATGACACAAGGTCTTCGACAATGTAGATGCATTATCTTCATACACAGATTCTGCAAACGTATCATCTGGTTTCTTTTTGTATTCTGAGTTGTATTGACCAATCACAGAAATCACTAACTAAGTCGTTACTCCTTGCTGCTGCTTAGACAAGATTCTCGATGGTACAGTTCCACAAATAATGCTGGAAAACATTCTTAAAGATTCCCGTTGTGCCGACTTGTTTTTGTCAAAGTACATCCAAAAAAAAAAAGATTTCTTTAGTTATTTAGTTCAAAGTTGACATTAATGACTTTTTCCTTTGCAATCATTGATTCACTTGTGCGGTTGGAGCAGAATGTCTCACAAACATTTACTAATGTCTCCCAAAGTGAGGAACCAGACACCTCAGAGAGGGACGCCGTGTGTTTGGGGTTTCTCCAAAGAGAAACCTGTCGGATCTTTGTTATCGAGATCAGAACCGACTCTGACCTCTCAACGGTCGTTGAATGCATCAGATCCCATGCATTGTAATGCAAATAGATACAGCATAGAATCATGGGAAACGTTTCACTGTGAGAACCCAACGTTGACAGGAGTTGATCTGCCGTGTTAATGTTGGCAGCAGTCTCTTTGGTTACATCACGCCCAGCTGGTACAGTTAAACATTGAGGATATCCTAGACTTTACTGGTTAAAGCTATTCACCGCTGTGTGAGGTTATTCTACTGTTTTTAATCTATTTTGTCGTAAACACAACATGGCAGTGTTGATCTTCCTCTCACTTCAGGGTTCTGGTTGGTTTGGGCGATCATCTTCCTTTTGAGCTGCTGCTGTGTGTGTCACCATCGCCGCACCAAACACCGGCTGCAGCAGCAGCAACGGCAGCACGAGATCAACCTCATTGCGTACCGCGAAGCACACAACTACTCGTCTGTGCCCTTCTACTTCAGTAAGAGCTACTGTGCCGCTCAGACACACACACACACAAACACACACACACACACACACACACCATGGGGATTAAATCTGAGATGGAACTTTATTTGCATTCCAGATGTAGGAATTCTGTTGATGTCAATTCCTTTCAACGGATAGAAGTACTTAAAGCATTCTCATATTAACACATGGACCCAATAAGGAGATAGTGTGAAAGGGATCGCTTAATATTGCAGCATCAACCAACTCTGGAGTTGTCTGCTGAACTACATTATTAGTTAGGATTATTTAGCTCCTTTCAGCTCCTCGGTCTTATTTTGCTATTATTATTGGCTCTCTGCTACTATGTTGTCAGGCACAAGCAGAACCTGCCGGTGAACACAGTGGCGCATTTCGCAGCAATCAAAACTGTTTTTTCTCAGTAGCTGGGAAAGAACAGAACAGAGCTGAAAGAGGAGTATCTGACTAACATTTGTCAGGTGGACAGAAAACACGACTCCAAATGCGTGCTGATGATGTGTTAGCTGCCCCCAAGTGGCAAAAAAGAAGAAGAAAAATTGACTCGGGGTAGATGAATTTGACTCGGTGACACAGACATATGCAGCAACATATGGTTTGTGTCCACATCATTGTAAAGCATTGACTGCTTGTCTGGTCTGTTCAGGCGAGGTCTTTTCCCCCAAACATTTCTGTACAAAAGAATGGTCACATAGCATTTGTGGCATTAATCACCTACTTAAAAAAAAAAACTAAAAACCATTTTGTCGTGCAGAAGCTTTTTTTGGTACCCAGTAAACATAATGTCACACAGTATATAAATAGTCTTGTCGTACAATCGGTTTGTATACATCTGCCGTACTTGACCGCATTACTAGGCCTCCCAGCTGCAGAGTATGAAGGCCGGATGAAGAGGAGAAGATGTAATCCAGTAGCTGCCTTCATTGTTTCTCAATGCTTCTCGACGATTTGAGCCTGGACTCTAGAATAATATTTTATTAAGAATTTCTAATCTGAAGTTTTCCAGTTTCCTTCAAATGAAAGAATTTAAAGCTACTGGTGAATAAAGGATGGGTCCTTAGGCTCAAATGTGATGTTTGCACTGACATGTATCCCTGGTTTCACACAGCGTCAGAACCTTCCCTGTTTGCATGCCCCAGTTTTCAGGAAACGGCCTGCATTGCTCCCCGCAGTACCACGCCACTGTTGCAACACCATCTCGCACAGCGCTGCGCCGGCCTTCGGCACAGAATTGACCCAAAAATAAGCTTGTTTTTGTCACATTTTTCCCCCTATTGCTTTGAGAATGTTTGAATAGTGGTCTGGGAAGTTCACTTAGGTCGGACTGAAATGTGTTGGGGGTCAAGCGGGAAAACCAACCCATGTGCGTTTTGAATGCCCTGTGAAACATGTTTAGTTGTCGGAATTCTTTGCGCAACTGTAAATGTTATTTTTCCCTCGTCAGGGTTTTTGCCTAACTACCTCCTGCCGGACTACGAAGAGGTGGTCAACCGGCCGCAAACTCCTCCCCCGCCCTACAGTGCCTTACACACTGGCCCGTCCTCAGTGGCTTCTAGCCCGCTGGCTCACGAGCAGCCGGAGGGACGCTGTCCAACCATCCAGTCCACTCCGGTGCCGCCGGTCTCTGACACTCTGTGTTGCAGACCCGGCGTAGAGGAGCCGCAGCCGCTCCCCTTAGACTTGAGGCCAAAGCCGGACAACAAGCCCCTGCAGACTGCACGCGAGTCAAGCATGATACTCCTGCCCGATGGGCTCGACAACCGGGAAGGACCCGCCAGCCGGGAGAAGGGGAGCAAAAGTGGGGACGAATCCTGCAAAGACCCACTGCTGAAGGAGCCATCAGAGGGCTGCGCCGACGACAAAGACCGACTCCCCAACGGAAGGAGGAGGCGGTTCACGGGAGACTCTGGGATCGAGGTGTGTGTGTGCGGCACGCGTGGGAGCAGCGGTTTTAGCGGGGCTGCAGGGACGGGCCAGGAGGGCAAGGAGTTGAGGGAGCTCGAGAGCCTGCTAGGGCGCGAGGGACCCGAGGAGGAGGAGGAGGAGGAGGAGGAAGAGGAGACGGGCGACTTCTGCGACAGCTGCGGCCATCGAGCCGCCCACGGCGCGCAGGAGGAGCAGGCACCGGGCGGGCCGGATAGACTGGTCGCACGCGCGTCGCCGGGAACTCCTCGGCCGGCTCAGCAGATAGGGAGCGCCTCGCTCCACCCTCCGGTGTGCCTCCTCCTGCACACCATCAACGAGCAGGAGGGGCCGCACCACAGTACCAGCACTGAGCCTCAGGGCTGAAACGCAGAGGGAAGGAGAGGACACGAGGGACAGCCTTCGTATGTGAGCACACAATAGAATGTGCGCGTCTTAGATGAAGCAGGTGTGGGGAGCAGGAAGGGGAAATCTACAAAGTAGGACTGAGATCCAGAGTTTGAGATCGCCTGCTCCTCTTTCACACACTGGAACAGTGGCCTTAACCTGTGTATTTGGGGTTATGTTTGGGCAGTTCGAGCCCTTTAACTGCCTGTGGCCATTGAGAGTTCACGCGCACACACACACACACACACACACACACACACACACACACACACACACACACACACACACACACACGCACAAAGTCCATTAGTTGTTCCTCTCGTGCACCAGGAGCTGCTGACACAGTGAAATATGTGATAGCTGAAGCTGTGACGACGGGACAGAATGTTCGCTCCTCACCGGCCGCTTGCAACCAAGCTGGAAGGCACAGAGCTACGTAGTAAAACATAAAAAAGTCCCCTAAACAGCAGGATCATTTTTGGATGAGTGCAATGTGGAGTAACACAGGGCGTACTTCTGCAAACCGGTACTGTACAGGGACACGAGAACAAGACTGTGTAGGCGTCCCGTTAGACTTGTACATCTTAAGCTCAGCCTTGTATCTGTTGTAGTTGCTCTCTATCTGCCCTGCTAGTGAGAGAGGAGTATAGGTGCATATACAAATCCTAATGTGAGTAGTTCCTATTTTGCACAAAGTGTTTTTATCTTTATAAAGAAAGCTTAAATAATTCAAATAAAATACAAAATTGAAAATGCTTTAATTATTTCAGTCATGGATCGCAGTACATGACTCGGTGTCTTTAGTGGGGTTTTGTTGAGACAACCGTAGGAAATGGACCTCTCCAGATTGTCAGTAAGGAATGCGGCAGATTCACTTTGTACACAATCATTTTGTATTAGTTTAATAAATGTGTGTAGCACGTGCTTAACCAAATAATGCAGATCTTGATGAACAATGATACGTTTCAGTAAAGCTGAGAAAGCAGGTACCAAAAGAAATACAGAATAAAAAGCTGCATAGAGATTGCCACGGAGATGGGCAACACCAGACCTCAAACTTTTTTGTGTCAGCCACGTAGAGGACCACCGTCACCAGCTGTACAGTATACAACATGTGTTGTCTTTGTCTGGATTTTCAAACTAGCACAATGTTATCTAGCTTTCATTATGGTATTCATTGATTAAACAATTATAGCAGCTCCCTGAATGGTCCACGGAGGCTGATTTGAATCAACTGGCATAGTATGATTTTTCACCTACATGAAAATAACCTAAGAAATATGTGTGGCCCTGACAATCATTTAAAAGCTCCTAATAGCCTAAAATATCTATTTTAGTGAATGTGTATCTCCAGTAATTATTCCATAATGTAGTCGACACAATGTCATTAACAGCTGTGCGTTGAGTGGAACGTGTTCGTTAGAACACAAAAGCAAAGAATCAGACAATTTTAGAGGTGGTTTGGTGGTTTGTTTGGTTAGGCTTAATATTGGAATATCTATGAACACAGATTTACATCACAAGATAAAAAAATAAAAAAAAGATGTAGAAGTTACTTAGTGGTATTCATAATACGGCAAAACAAAACAACATAATTACATCAATGTATCTACTTAAGACCTTAAAGAACATGACTGTTTTAAATCCAAAACGTACAATAGCTATAATAAAGTAGATTGTGATAGTTGATAACTGTGCCATGGAAAACGCCACTGATTATATTGTAAGCGCTCTGTATGAAACGTTTACAAATTAAGTCATATCTAAGTTGGCCCATTCTTTGAAACTAATGAAATATGGTCAAGGCTACATCGCATCATTTTTTCCAGAGTTTCTTTAAGCACACTCAAAAAAAGCACACAATGCAATGTCTGCAAAGCACAAATGTTTCAGACAATTGTTCTCACAGACTTCTATATTTACCATAAAACAATCTGACTTAGTTACAAGTTAAGTTTGTTAGATGACCTCTCTGTATTTACATTGAGATTATTTAATGTTACCCATGAATGTCTGAACACATTCTTAAGTGCTTTACATGTTCATGCTTCTGTGATCTAGAAAGTGTGATTGTGGTACATGTAGTACCAAGACAAGCTATTTTCATATCGGCTGAATCCTTTAAAAAAAAAAATTCTAAACCACTTCATATTTGAAAATGTGTATAATATTGTGTAACATGTTTGTAAACCAAAAAATGTTATGAAATCATTATCTTTATGGTTATGGACAGAATTTGTTTTCTCTTCATGGGTATTATTTTTTTCTTCTTTTGTGGAGGGTACGTTTGACTAACAAAGACGGTAGATAACTTGTTGTCTTGCTGTTACCTAAGACACATTTTTTTTCTTTACCAGTGTCTGTAAGTTGGTTTTGCACATATTCTTTGAATGTTCCGATTACAAGCCATTTACCACAACAACCAAGCTGGATGTATGTACAATAAACATGCCCCTTTAGATTCAAGCTGACTCTTTTGTTTGTCAAGATTTGACATTTCTTCACTTACCTAGAATATTTTATATTCAGTATACATATTACGTTACTGTTGGCAATTATTGCACCTGTCATATTACAGGCAATGGACCAAGTTCGCTCTTAACCCTTAGACACTAACATTAAGTTAGTAACATCATCACTAACGTTGGGTAAATTCAACCTAATAAAAAATACTTCTCATCAAAATATATTTAAGGACAACGATATGTGGCAAATTGACGTACTCTTCCCTTATTATCCCCTATTCGATGTCTTATCAAATGAAAAGCAGTAAGCATGGAGGGGGGGACCCTATAAAAAAAACCTCTAAAATTAGACGAATTTGGGAAATCCTTAAAAAAAATAATGGAGCTGGAAACTTGTGACCCTCGTCCAGTGAAACCTCCTGCGTTGAAAATCACCCGCACAGGAGGGACTGTTGACACCAGCAGGGGGAGACACACACACACACACCTTCAGTGACGTCACTGTCCCGAGGACCCGCGCGCCAGCAGCGAGCAGGTCGCACGGGCGAAGTTCCCCCGTCATCAGATACGGATTCAGAAGGAAGTCAACCCGCTGCTAAAAGTCTTCCTCTGTCAACGGCGAAAACTGAACTTCAGTGCAATGGCTGAAGAAAGCAGGTCAGAATAAAACCCATCTCGTGTCTGTTTTTTTTGTATCGTATCGTGTTATTTCCACGTAACGCTGTCGTGAGATAACGGTTGTGATATGTTAGAAACGTTAAAGTGACGCTAACTTTAGCTAATGGCTACGAGTAATAACGTAATTAGTAATTAGTTCGCCGTTAGCACTTAGCAGCTAACAGCAACACAGCGTTTCGTGCACGTTGACGTGAACGTAACGAAACGCTTTTTCTCTTCCAGCGTTCGCTTAGGAGGCTTCGTCGATACCACCACCCACGTGGACGTCAAGGTGCGCCGCGCACCACCCGCCGCGCCGCACACGTCACAGTGGTGGTTACAGCGCTGCTTTAAAACACAGTTTTGTCGCACAGCTCTGATGATGATGATGATGATGTGTTGCACCGCTGACCCAAACTCACTGATGCCAATCGCCGATCCTCGACTGGCCTTTTCTTCCCTTAACAGGATTACTACGGGAAGGTGCTGAAGAAGTCCGCAGACCTGATGAGCAATGCCTGCGTGACTCCTGCCAAATCCGTGCCTGCCTTCATCCGCCGGGCGCTGGAGAAAGTGCACCCCGAAGTCACCGACAGGTCCCTGGACTTCTGTCACGCCGCCACGATCGCTGACCCACAAGGTGCTCACAGCGGGGGTCCTTTTGCCTCAGGTACTACGGCTGCGGTCTGGTGGTGCCGGAGTGTTTGGAGGGCTGCAGGGTTCTGGACCTGGGCAGTGGAAGCGGAAGGGACTGCTACATGCTGAGCCAGCTGGTGGGCGAGACGGGCCACGTCACTGGCATTGACATGACCGAGGACCAGGTAATGGACACGAGCGCATCACATTATGGCCTCGTGGCTCGGCAGGCTGACAATGATGTGCGCAGAAACAATTCCAATCCTGGATTTAGATGGACAACATTCGTCTCTCCACAATCTAACGTAAGACTGGTACAGCTTTAAATGCAACAGTGTGCTCTCTTCTAGCTTGATGTGGCCAGGACATATGTGGACCATCACGCCAAAGAGTTTGGCTACAAGGAGTCCAATGTTAGTTTCGTCCAGGGCTACATTGAGGCCCTGACAGAAGCGGGTTTGGAAAAGAACTCCTTTGACATCATCATGTGCGAAGTCAATTACTCTCTTTGTTTCATTTGTTTCTGCTTTGTAACTAAAGAAATCAAGTTGAAAGCGCTGATTTTCTGCCACAGTTCCAACTGCGTGGTGAATCTATCTCCAGACAAGAAGAGAGTTCTGGCTGAAGCCTACAGTGTGCTCAAGGTACACTGCCTCGACCTTTGGCTTCTCTCTCCAATCTCATGCAAGACGCTCACATGCAAACAATGCCGAGGCAGAACAATATGTAGTTTACATTGAAATGCAATACACATATTGTCTTTAGGATGGAGGTGAGCTGTACTTCAGTGATGTTTACAGCAGCGGAAGACTAACAGAGGAAATTAAAAATCACAAAGTCCTGTGGGGTGCGTCAAATGAATATCCTTCTGCCATAAAAGCTCAGAGCCACGTGGCAGAGCGTCACACTGTAAGTCTCTCCCTGGCAGGCGAATGTCTTGGTGGAGCGCTCTGGTGGAAAGATCTGCTGCAGTTGGCCGAAGAAGTGGGCTTCAGCCCCCCCCGGCTGGTGACCGCCAGCGTCATCACTGTAGACAACAAAGAGCTGCAGGACATTTTAGGTTGGATATGACTGTTTTCTTTGTTATATCATCTTTGTTTTGTGTATAGAGGGCCGCAGTATCACTTAAGTGAATGCCTTGAGTATTCAGTGACATGTTTTATGTCAGAGAACAAGATGTTAAAATCTCTCCATCTTGTGTTAACCACAGACCTTATGTACCTCTATTCATTTTGACTAGATTTAATATTTATATATTTCCAGCGTGAGGGATGTTAATAACTAAAGTCTTGTCTGTACCTTTTTAAAAAAAAATAGAATTTATATCTTAGTTTACTTCATAATTAATATTTACAAATCTAATGTTGGTTTTAATCTGTGCTGCACAGGTCTGGTTAATGTTTAACTGACATTAAACTGGATTCCACTAAACCATTATCACAGTCTTGCATCTTTATTGGTGCAACTTTATTGTCCATTGTGTAGGGGATGAAGTAGATTGTAAATTGTTGAGATTGACTGATGCATTTCACAAATCTTTCTTACCTGTTCTGGCAATACAGGTGACTTCAAGTTTGTCTCTGCCACCTACCGCCTGTTCAAAGTCCCTAAAGGCAACACCAAGCCCAGTCAGGTCATATACAACGGGAGCATTACAGGTGTAGAAGACAGCTTCCAGTTTGACTGTCAATACACATTCAAGGTCTGCACATCCCACAGTGGAGGAAAAACCCAATATCCTCATCTCATGCATTGTATGCAAACAATTACAGATGCGAGTGTATTTTGCAGGTTGATAATGTGGTGGAGGTGGATGGAGAGGTGGCCACCATCCTGACCCAGTCCAGATTTATGGACGACTTCACTTTCCAGCCAGCGGGAGGCCGCAGTGTGTCCTGTGGAGCTCTAACTAAGGTCAGTGTCACAACTTCATTCTGGGAAATGTCTTTTCGAGTGATTTTCCTTTGCGGTCCCGAGGTCAGTGTGTTGGTGGTGTCAGTTACAAGAGTGTGACACGCCCAGAGAGCCCCTCTGTCTAAGCTGTGCACATAGTCACTCGCACATGTGTGCACCAGGACGCATGCTGCAATTCCTTACACACACAAACACTCGCATACCCACTCAAACATACGTACGCACACATCCATTCGCGCAAGGTCAAGCAGCTGTCTTGGAGTCATAACCAGACTGTGGAGTCATGCTGAGAAACCTTGAACAGGAAGAAATGTTCTCTTCTCAGCTAATGGAATGCCATCATATCAGTGCTTGTGGCCGTCCTGTGCGCACACACACTTTTCAATGACTAAACTAATCATGTGATCACCCGTGACATTTCATACTGCTTTTGAAGGGGTTTTATTTATTTTGGAGAAACAAAGTCAATTGAAAATCTCTGATTCACCTCAAATGGTCCGAGTGTTGAGCCGTTGGACTTGTTCTCCTATGAAGGAAAATTTGTCTCCAATCAACGCGGCTAGTTGATGATTGGAGACAATTGATGATCATTAAAAAAAGGCGTTTGACCTTGTTCTTTGAAGCACAGCTACCATAAAATGCAAATTTGAGGAACAACTGGTGTGTGTTGAAATGTACACTGTTATCAGCTGTAAAAATGCCTTTAAAAGGTCAGTGAACCACAACTTTTATTCTGCCATTACAATTTTTGTTGCATATTCAATTGTGTGTGAAGCTAGAAATCAGAAAATGAGACAATTTACTTTTCAAACTTTTTAAATGACTTTCATGTCACTGGAATTGGATGTTAGGAACTCTGACTGATTTCTATCTTGTTGATCTGTTGACACAGGCAGGCATTGTGGATCCTTTTGAGCTCGTCCTTCAGCTGGAGAAACAAAGTCCAGGTTCAGCCACAGGGGGATGCTGCAGCACACAGTCTGCTGCCTGCTGCAAGTGATGGTGGGAAGAGCGCTGAGAAATACGGGCCCAGCATCACTTTCTATAAATACCAGAAGCAGTGCAAATGTACTGACTTGTATTATGCCTCATGATGCAATGTCTGTATTTTGTATCTTGTTAACTAATTCATCTGAGACCAGATTTCAGCAAATGAATCACTTAAACAGATACATGTGTCTCATTGATGCTCTGTGAATACTTAAAAGACTGGAAAGGTTCATTTTAATAATAAATAACATAACTTTGTCTTTATATTGAGGCAGGATCCAAAAAGCCATATTTATAAACTTGAACACTATTGGTGCCTTCTTCTTATACACATATTTGTCCCATATGTCTGCAATCTTAGAGATCTGAATGTGCATTTGTGAAGACTGTCCCACCTTTGGACCACTGGGTCACTCGATATAATAACACCACAAAAGAAATTGATTTGTTTAGTCAGTATGTTGACAGGGTTTGCATTAGTGTGATAAAACAATACACGTCATACTATTTTGCACATATAATTTGTGGATTTTTTACACCAGTATGGCATAAGGTCGACTACATATATAATGATACATTTTTTTAAAACATCTTTTTTATCTCATGAAAGACATGAAATCTGGAAAGGTGGAACTTGTTTTAACTGCCTTTAAATTACATCCACATTAATTACTTATCCTTGATGGAAGGTCAGGAATCAGGAAACATTTATTGCCATAATATGTCAAGACATATAAGGAATTTGACTTGTACGACAATGGACGACAAGACAACAGTGCAAGAGGAATAAAATAAAATATAATTCTATGGATTAGTTTAAAAATAAAGGAATAAAAGCTAAAAGAAAAGTGCACCAGCAAACACAGTGACAAGGTGATAATGCTTTCAATTCTAATGTTGATTATGATAATACTATGTAGTCAAGTTAACACCCCTGACAGTCGCAATATACATGTAACAAAGTAAAATTTATTTCTGCATATTGTAATAACAAAGAGTCAAACGGTTAAAGTGCAAACATAGACATAGTACTTGAAAACTTATTAAAAATAAGAAGTAAGGAACATTTTTAAAAGAATGCAAAATAACTGATGTTTAATATTACACATACAGATAGAACTATTATAGCTGTTTTGCACATAGTGTTATATTGCACCGATTTGAGGTGTTTTATGGTGCTCTCATGTCACTGTGTCTTATCTTTATTGATGTGTACATTGTAATCAAGGACAGTCATGTGATCCACTGTACTACGAGGTACGTTTAAAAAAAAGCCATCGATTCTCCAACTGTCTTTAACATGAGGTGCACTTGTTTTGGAATTTGATTCGCCGAGGAGGCTGCGCACGCCCCGCCCCCGGGCCCGGGGGCCCTACTGATTGGTCGCCGCTGTCGCCTGTCTCGGGGACATCAGGGGAGGCACGAGTTGGCCCATAAGCCTGCGCTGGCGAGTCGTCACTGTCGGACACGTAGTGGGAACGAACAGGTCCCGATGCGCAAGTCACGGCAACCCTCGGCGGAGATGAAGGCGGACTCCGACTGGCTCTGATTTTTAAAAGCCCTTTTCATTCAGGACGTCGGTTGCCAACGGTTATCGATAATGGCAGGGCCGTTGACCCAAGCACCCACCGCTGCAAAAATGGCGTCACTTAACCGGGTCCGAGCTTTAGCGATGCTTTTCCTAACTGTCACTGGCTGTTGTGTCACCCCGACGAGCGGCAAGGAAGGGTCCGAGGAGACCGTCATCATAGGGCTGCGACTGGAGGAGACGGACGACATTTCCTTCATGGATAAGGGCTACCTGCGGGTGAGTGAGCGTTCTCGGGTGAAATTAAGGGTGTACGGGCAGAACATCAACAACGAGACCTGGTCCAAAATTTCTTTCACGGAACACGAGCGCAGCCGGACGCTGGGGATCCTTGACAGCTCCTCGGGGGATAACCAGAGCCAGGAGGACTCGTCCGGCTCGCATCCCTGCGGCATTAGGACTTCGGATATAATTATATTGCCCAACATCGTCGTGAGTCGAAAGACGTCCGGGGTGGTCGAGATCGAGGTCAAGCCGCTGCGGAAGACGGAGAGGAGTAAAGAGTATTACCTGTGCATCGCCACCGCGACCGCCACGGCGGCCGTGGCCGGGATGTACGACCCGTGGACGGAGAACACCTGGATCTACCACGACGGAGACGACACCAAAGTGATAGTGGTGGAGGAGAAAAAGTTTCTGCTGCCCTTCTGGCTCCAGGTCATCTTCATCTCCATGTTGCTCTGCCTGTCGGGCATGTTCAGCGGGTTGAACCTGGGGCTCATGGCTCTGGACCCCATGGAGCTCCAGATAGTGCAGAACTGCGGCACGGAGAAGGAGAAGAATTACGCCAAGAAGATCGAGCCGGTCAGGAGCCAAGGGAATTACTTGCTTTGCTCGCTTCTGCTGGGGAACGTGCTGGTGAACACCACGCTGACCATCCTGCTGGATGATATCGCCGGTTCGGGGCTGATCGCCGTGGTCATGTCCACCATTGGAATAGTCATTTTTGGAGAAATCGTGCCGCAGGCCATCTGCTCCAGACACGGCCTCGCCGTGGGGGCCAACACCATATTCCTCACCAAGTTCTTCATGCTGCTCACCTTCCCCGCCTCCTACCCGGTGAGCAAGCTGCTCGACTACCTCCTGGGACAGGAGATCGGGACCGTGTACAACCGGGAGAAGCTCCTGGAGATGCTGCGCGTCACGGACCCTTACAACGACCTGGTGAAGGAGGAGCTGAACATCATCCAGGGCGCGCTGGAGCTCAGGACTAAGACCGTGGAGGACGTCATGACGCCTCTGAGAGATTGCTTCATGATCCCCGGGGACGGTACCCTGGACTTTAACACCATGTCCGAGATCATGAAGAGCGGCTACACGCGCATCCCAGTCTTCGAGGGCGAGAGGTCCAACATAGTGGACCTGCTCTTTGTCAAGGACCTGGCATTTGTGGACCCGGACGATTGCACACCTCTCAAAACCATCACAAAGTTTTACAGCCACCCCTTACATTTTGTGTTCAATGACACCAAGTTGGACGCGATGCTGGAGGAGTTTAAAAAAGGTGAGACAACTAGAGTGGACTTATTTTCCCTTTTATTAGACTTTCAATGTATGATTCCGGTGCCAAATTAAGAGGTCTGCCTCCTCGTTTTAAGTTAACGCTCTCTTGACTCAGGGGGCAAAGGTCGTTGCACAAGATGGTTTGCCTTTCACCTGTTTACCCTTTGCATCCGGGAGGGTAGACGGTGGAGTTACTTCAGGTAGGTATTGAATATGTGTCATGCTCTATCCGCCAAAAGGTCACATTGTGGGGACACGTGCAAGTGAATCTTGAATATTGAAAAACCTGATCTTCAGGAATAAAATTGGAGAAAGGCAGTTGCTTGGGACCTTTCTTACCTGAGCTCTGAAGCAGCCACCATCAGTAGTGAGGAGCACCTGAGGAGGTGGAGAGGGGCACCTGAGGAGGTAGTGAGGGGCACTTGAGGAGGTAGTGGGGGGCACCTGAGGAGGTGTTATGTGTTATCTTTCTCCGTCACTTCCATTCTGTGTTAATGCACGATTTCTCTCTTATGCTTTCCTCCGCGTACCTTCTCTTCTCATTCAGCCTTTTTTGCTCTCCTCTCCTCCCTCCCTCTCTCTCTCTCTCTCTCTCTGTGATTTGTGAATGCATTAGGACAGGTGGGAATGGTGCTAGGGTTATCAGGTGGGGGCATCTTGTTTGAGAACCTGCTTGAATCCCTTTTCACCTCTATGGAACTTGCCTCTGAATGATGGTGGCGATAACTCCTTTTGTCCAGCCCTGGAATGCAGTCGTGTGGATAATGAATAACAGCCTCTAACACCCTCGAGCCCCCCGTGTGTTGTATGTGAGTGTGTTGTGTGTGTGTGTGTGTGTGTGTGTGTGTGTGTGTGTGTGTGTGTGTGTGTGTGTGTGTGTGTGTGTGAAATGTGTATGCGCGTGGCTTTTGAGAGCGTTGTTTACCTCAGCGGGGCGGACCTGGCGTTTCGAATAGCGCTCCCCCCTCCACGTTGTTTCCTTGAACAAAGTTGTCCGTCACAGTACGTGTAGATCAGATGCCAGTCCGCTCTGTCTTTAGGCCCAGCGATGCTCGTGCAGCGTGACTCGTGGTCACACCTGGAGACCAAATGATTCTTCAATACCTAAAATACAGGGGAAAAGCATGAGTGATGCATTGCGTCGCTCTAGGAGGATTAATTGGGGGGGAAAAGTAAATCATTAAGCTCCATTACCAGAATTAGGTGTAGTTCTCCATGCTAAATCAGCATTACATAATAAACTCGTTCTTGGGGGGGGGGGGGGGGTGTTTGTTTTCATCACATTGACTATTCACAGACTTTTACAGACGATTACAATAACATTATCACTAAATATGACCCTTGCTGTATCTCTCACTTATTACACTGGACTGTGAACATCTCAGGGCTGATATGTTGTTTTTTAAGTGATATGGATGCTCTTGACTTGTGAGCCAGATATGAAAAGAAAGAATAATAATTAAAAAAAAAGATATTCTGATTTTCAGCATAAATGTCTCCAATAGCTGTTGAATAATGGCCTGCATGTTGGATCTGCTTTGTTGCTGCTCACGCGGGTCCGTTGGTATTTGGCGACTGCTGTCTGTTGTACGTGTGCATCATGTTGGCACAAGCCGTTCATGCAGGTCCCGTCTGGCGCTGAGCCAGAGGGAACTTGCCATCCGGCTCTGATGGAAGTCATAAGCACCTGTGGTAGGGAGGCCTGCGGGGGTCAAAGGTTCCCGTCAATCCGGCTCTGGTCGCAGCGCACACTGTTCAAAGTGCTTTGTATCGTAAGTCATTGTTAATTAATATGATGGCGCTTGCGCAGCTGCACAGTCGTCTGAAGTCTGTAGCAAAAAAAAAAAGTTTTTTTAAACTGAGCATTTGGTATAAACCTTCTGGGGAACTTCTGGTCCTTTTTCTTTTCTGTGTTGGATTTGTTGGAGATTTGTTGGCTCACACTCAGAGATCACCTTGATCTTTAAGTTTGCCCCCCCCCTGCCCAAAGAGGAAAGTATGAATAGTTCAGAGGGCATTGAAGAACTTTAAACATTTTCTTGGTGGTGAAAATAAAGTGCCGATTCCAGCTGTGCCGTCATTATGATTTCCCCCGGCTTGACCCCCGGACCTGAGGTCAGAGGTGACGGCGAGATTCACGCAGGAGCGGTTTAATCGAGGCGGACACCACTCTGGAAACTTGTGACCTTTTCATTAATCGCCCTCCTTCTGCCATTGCAACAATTACTGTCATCCAGGGGCTGCTTGTCAAGCTGCAGGTTTACCGGTTAATGAGTGGGTCAGCGAGGGCCGTTTGGGACCGGACCAAGCAGTTGAGTCAGAGGCAGGAATTTAAATGCCCTCCTGACTTTCGGTCATTCCTGAAAGTGAAAATGAGTCACTGACACATGCGGTGTAACCAGCCCTGTGGGATGAGGAAGGTATCTAGTCTGGATGTTTGAGAGAGCTCAGATCGGGTTGTGTGTGTGTATTCCGGCCACTCGCCTGACTTGGTGTCAAAGTCGATGCAGTTACCCTGCTTGTTCCTTTTTAAAGCATCAGTTTCTTCATAGCTAATGTGTAATAGTCCAGGGTGCACATGCTCCACTGGTGGGGCGTAAAGTCCCCAGTGTAATAAAGCCTACATGAGGCCCGGCACGTCTTAAACTAGTTCCCTGCTGCAATATAGGCCAATCTATGCTTAATTCAGATTCAGCAGCCTTCACGGTCTCTTTTCTCACTGCTTTGTCTTAAAGTGAAACTCCTTTCTCTGTCGACCTCGTTGAAATAGCAGCAGACCTTTTGCTGTGGTTTTTGCTGGATGTTTGTGCAAAGTGTATTACGGCAATTGTCTAGAAACGGTGTGTTTTGCCTGGTAACCCTTGGTGGTAATGCTGCCACAAGTGCTGAGATGAAATGGCCTTATGTTGGTAAGAACTCTTAATGTCTCTTGATGAGTAAACTAGTAAACTAATGACCTCAAATCAAAGGTTGCCTGCATTTCACAGTACTTTGTGTTACAGGAGGAAGCATTTGCTGTAGATTCTTTCTCCTCAATGGAATTTTATTTTGCAAACAGCATAGATAACAAAAGTTGCTAATTATCTTTTATATTGAGTATCATTTAAGTAAGTCTTTGACTATTTTTAATGCAACCCATTTGGCGACTCACTTTAAGAGAGCAGGCAAAAACTGCTGTGGTAGAAAGCGGTTGCATGGTAACCTTCCCACGGGTCCACCTGGTGTTTCGCATCATTTAGCCCATTATCCTACAAATCCTGAATACTACTGCCAACTCTTTTTTTTCCAAAGCACAGTTTAAAACCGACTTGAAACCTCTTGGAAGCTGGCGATCCATCACAGTTAAAGGGTCTTTACATTTAGTTAGCAACCCGTTTCCTATTTAGTCAAGTCACCCTTCATACGTACATCCAGCAGACGTGTAGCGACAGTAGGATTCGGTCATTTACTCCTGTGACCTGTCAAATGGAAGTCATTAATCAATCTTCCTACTCAACTCCTTTGTCTCACACCATAAGGAAATATCTGGCTCTCGATACGCCAGAATGTTCAACAGGTGCTCACCGGCGATGTGTTTGATGTTGGGCCCTAGCGCCTGATGTGCTTCGGTGCCTCGGCCAAGCAGAGTTTCCAAAGCAAACCTGAACAAACGAATCAGCACTCCACGACAACAGAACCTCAACAAAGAATTTGTGCGATGAAATGTTTGCTTTGATGGATTTTGGAAGGCGAGATCTGAGTCTTGTCGAATAGAAACCAACGGTTTTCAGGCGGTAAATCAAGACTAAACGTTGTAGTAAAGTTAATGTTGTTGAATCCGTTAATGCATCCGGAGCACAGGATGCTCTTGTTGACATTGGAGGTAATGCTCAATATAGGAATTTCACGCAATGTGCTTTTCCCCATGTGTTCCCAATGAGGATTTCCCAATCGCAATTTGATATAAAAATAAGCGACTTGATGATTAACTTCAAGTGATTTAGATGCTGTCTGGATTGAACTCTAGAGTTTGTTGTGTTAGAGACTGGCTTTTGAATTGGCCTACATTCTTCAGATTCTGGTACAACATGAAGTAGGCTTTTAAGACCCGATTAGTACAACAGTTGAGTGTGAATCTAGGCGCAGTGCATTCCCAAAGCCTGTCTGATCTGGCATTATGACTTTTGCTTTATGTATAGTTGTTCTCCTGTGCACCCCACATACTACGCATTGAACACAAACACAATATGGGTTTTCTCTGCAGCAGGTTCGTGCCCTTATGTGATGCTGCCCTGCCTGCACCGCTCCGGCGCGAGTTGCTCGCCGCGCCAACGACCTTGTGGGAGTCAGCCTGCTATATTTGGCATGAGTTGGAAAATGCTTAAACTCTCTTGGCAAACCCGTGTGCAAGCAACAAAGGGTGCGACGGGAAATCCAACGTGCTACTGTCTTTGAAAAAGCAAAGCGAGGTCCAAGTTGCATTGAAGGGGACATGTTCTGAAGCCTCACTTTGAAGAGCAAATAGCACATTTCTTTCACGGAAGACGTTTGATCCAAACCTTCGTAATCTGGCCTCGTCGGCTCTGTTAAGGCACAATGGGTTTCTTCTGAGCGTCAACTGAAATAGAGCCAGTTAAGAATAAGTCCTGTATTATATCCAAAACGGGATTCATCACAGGCACTTATCACAACATGTAAACTGGTCTTTCTGTATTTCTATAGTCTAGTGGACAGTGTAAAGTATTCACTAAATTGCACACAGATTTTATTTCAGCACAGTTGCACATGCTGCCTCATATTATTTCTCCTGAATAACTTTACTACTGGGCCGTTTAGCAACTACCTTCGTTTGTCGTAGTGTCTGTGATGATTTCTGAAGGTTTTTTTTAGTTGCCAGGGATCTGTAGTCATGCACTACTGAGGGAAGTTTGTTATTACGCAATCCAGAATGCAACCACCCCACGTTCCTTTTTAATAAGCAGTTTCCCAAAACAGAGATCACACTGGACCAAGGCGTAAACA